CGTCGGTCACGATGTGACTTGACTTTGATGTTACCTAGCGAAGACCAGTGAAACCTATAACAAACTGGGAACTTTTTGTGCGTGCCGTATTTATTTGTATAGTGTGTAAATTAATGAGATTATTATAATCATTTGTAGTTACGAGTCATAACTGTTCAGTAAATAAAGTAATAAATCCAAACCCAGTGTCTAGTCACTGAAACGTGACAATATGTTACTTACCAGTAACAATCTGGGCAACTGACACAACTCCAATGAAAATCACCAAGGTGACTCCGAGAATGGACATATTTGCCTGAAACAATGAATGGAAAAAATAGATTTACCTTTTATTACACTAACAACAAAAAAACTACAAACTAGCAAGACTACAAAACAAAACAATTGTAGTAGAACCTTCAAGAAAGGCCAAAGGGATCCCACAGTGCATGCGACGGCGACAATATGGTCATACAAGATCATATTGTAACAAACCGTATGTATGTGTAAAATGCGGTCGGTCTCACAGCACACAGAGCTGCAAAATTCTAAAAACACGCCTGCAAAATGTGTAGTCTGTGGAGGTGCACATCCAGCTAATTACAGAGGATGTGAATATTATCACAGTTTATTGAAACAAAGAAATAGCACTAAGAAGAGACTAAACATTCAACAGCCCGATGACGCTCCTTGGCCTCCCTTCCCAAGCCCCTCCATTCCTGTCTTTCCTGCCCTGCTCTCTTCCAGTTCCTTACGCCGATTAGCTTCTTCCCATCTTCATCCACTGCATCAATCCATCTAGTTCTTGGTTTCCCAGCACGTCTCCTACCGCCTAATTGTACTGTATAACATTTTTTTCGGGATACGCTCCTTATGCATTCTCAGTACATGCCCAGCCCATTGCAATCTTTTTAAGTTTTATGGTCACTGAGATCTCTGGCTCCTTATATAATTTGTATAACTCTTTATTATATCTTATTCTCCATATCCCATTCTCTTTTATTGGTCCATAAATCCGTCTCAGGATTTTCCTCTCGAGTGAACTGATGACTGATTCTTCTTTCTTGTTTAGCGTGCAGCACTCATATACATAATAAAGCACCGGTCTTATCATTGTTATAATATATTTTTGTTTTAATCGCTCGGTGTATGTCCTTTGGTGTAAAAACTGATAGTAATGAGGAATATGCAGTATTCGTTAGTTTTATTCTTCTTGTTATTTCATGATTTTCCTCTCCATCTTTGTGGAATTTCGATCCTAAATATATGAAGTCTTCAGCTATTTCTATCCCGTCCCCTTCCATGTTAATTTCTCCAGTTTGCCTTGGATTCCTTCTGGAGTGTATCAGCATTTTAGTTTTATTTACATTCATCACTAAGCCAGTTGTTTTTGCTATGGTTTTTATTTCTTTATATGTCTCCTTCATTGCTCTTAGGGATCTCGATACTATAATAATATCATCTGCATACGCCATTATTTGCGTTTGTTTATACGCTATTGTATTCCTTGTGTCTACATTACATTTTCTCACTGTATTCCAATACCAAGTTAAATGGTGATGGTGCCAAACTATCACCCTGTTTTAATCCTTGATTTGTCTTAAAGCATTCTGTTAAGTGGTTCTGGATTTTAACTTGATTGATTGTTTCTGTCATGGTTAAGTTAATTATTCTACTTAGTTTTGCTGAAATATCAAAAGTGGACATAATCATCCTTAATTTCTTCATTATTATGGTATCACATGCTTGTTTAAAATCTATGAAGCATAGGTATATATCTGTATTAAAATGGGAAGGTCGACGAAAACAAGGCAGGACATTACCTGCTAGCCTACGCTGATTATGTGATTCTGCTGGGTGATAACATAGATACATCACAGAGAAACAAAGAAGCTTTAACTGATGCTACTAAGGAGATTGCTCTAGAAGTAAAGGCAGAGAAATCAAAGTATTGTAACCGCTCACTTCCTTTGTGCCCTTTTCGTTGTGCGCCACTCCACCACCGATCACTTCTTTGGGTTCTTTACTTTAATCAGTAGAGCTGGGTTCCTATCCCAGGGTCTTATAAGGGTCTGGCTCGGACAGGGCAGGAGGAACNAACACTTCTCTACAATTACACACACACACTCTACAACCGTTGCACTTAATGGTCATTTAATCTCGTTCAGCACACTAAATACAACTGAATTTCTTACTACTGTTGCTTTGTACTGTGCTTATACTGTTCTACGGAAGGGCCGTAGTGGTAAATTTAGTGTCCGACTTTGCCGAAAGTAGTGTCAAGACTCCGAGGTGGAATGCCCTCTCTCTGAAACCTGAGGTCCACGAACCCCAGACTCCAAGAGAAATCCACTCCTCCACTTCTACCATTGGTTAATTTTTCAATCTAGGAGGTTCCCTAAATTTTGAATTCCCAATCATGTTGCTCTGCTATGTGATTCTGGCAGATGCTGGCCTGACGCTAAGGATGACAGCCCTCTGATGCATTAAGGTCAGGGTGTGAGGCTCCGGCCGTCCCACTTCTAAGTTATCGCTGTCCCAAGCTGTCAGCTCTCATTTTCTCAAAGCCTTTCCGACGTTGCTGAAACTGCCAGAATTCCAGGAAATTACCAGATGTTCCTTCCTGTCCA